CTGTGTCTCATTCTTGCTTGAAATGAGGTGTCCGGTTCATTTCATTAGAACCAACACATGGTGTGGTCTTAATGAAAGGGATGGGGGAGATTAAATATGAGGTGGGGATGAGCTTGAGAAACCAGCTTTGGCTCGTAGGAGGTCAGAACACAATGTGGATTAAGCTGGATGACGGCCAGCAGGGCCAAACTCATAAAACCGCTTCATTTCTAAATAGGTCCTGGCATTTTCCTCCCAAGATGGTCACTTTGAGGCCTTTAAGAGACATTTTACACATTGTGCCCTTTTCTCTTGTTAAACACCTGCTCCGTAAACTTCACCACGTGATCTTGCCTATATGTCAAGACCGAGCACAAAGCCAGTTCATTTCCTTCTGTTTTCACAAATGCTTTGACGAGACTGTTCTCCATGGAGGAGCAGGAGCAATAAGGCATAGAATTGTGCTGTTAGGGCCCTGAGAAGTCCGCTCCAGGGGGAGGGAAGCACTGTGAATGGAGCAATTCTCATCTATAGGGCATGAGAGAGAGAGGGAGAAAGTAGGTGGATGAGGAGGTAGACAAAGATCCTCACACTGAGTAGCTGTGTGGTATGCACTGACCCCTCAAAGAATGAGCCTCGATGGGGTCCAGAGGGCCTCCACAGAAAGGGAGGACAGGCTAAAGAGAGGAACAGAAGAAAGGAGGAGCGGACGGATGCCAGGAGAGAGGCCTGAGACATCATAATGCACAAGTTGCAGTAAAGTGTGGCTGTAAAATCTCACCATGAGTCAAGTGTATTGCAACTTTTGTGTCAATTTTATAGTTTGGTCACCATTTCTATTGGTAGTAAGTTAACCAGGGAAATGGTAGAAGAGCTGCAAGTTGTCACAGGCCAAAAACATGGACAGACAGGCAGTCACGCAGGGATATGCAAGTGACCCAAGTGACAGATTCCAAAAACATGGACAGACAGGCAGTCACACAAGGATATGCAAGTGACCCACAGGAGACAGATTAAAAAAAGAGTGATCAAAATCAAAGCAGTATAGGCAAAGATAGCCAGACATATAGTTTCTGATATGGGTGAAGCTCCAAAAACACTGGGTCTTACACTTCCCATGATGCAGCTTAATATCTTAACAACTTACAAACTACATGCCCCAGGCTTGTAACATAGATTGTTATAAATGTGTCAACATCACCAGGGTTATGTTATCACTCTGGAGTGCGACCGTTCACAGTCTGAGACGTACTTTCCAGTCATAGGTAAACTGAACTTAATTCATAAATTGGAGGAGAGTCTTTGTTTGCCATAGTTAGGAACAAGTGATTATTAACGTGCCACCAGTTTCAGTTTTACCTCAGAATAACATGGTTTGCATGAGCTGGTGAAATCACTGGCTTCATTGTGCTTTGGTACAGTTGTTATATCCCCAGATTTCAGTATTTTGGTGAGTACTCATTCAATAGCAAAAAAAAAAAAAAACAGCAGCCAAAACTACAAAAAATAGTTGTGATAAACTGAGACTATCTCTTAACTAGCATCCCTCAGGAGATGAAGAAGTGCTCACAAACACATTGCCTGAGCTCGCCTTGGAAACCTCACCCAATGTTTTATTCAGCTGTGGCGATGTGCAGCGCTGCTCCTGAGGCGGTTGGGGTAATAGTCATGCGTGAAAATGCAGACGTTTTCATAGAGACATCAAGCAGGCAGGTATCTCATTATGGGCAAGGCGAGGCAATTATAGCTCTCTGCAAAGCCTTTAAGTTGTTGATGTTAAAATGTTTCTCTTGTTGGACATTGCCTATTACTTGTTGAGGAAAAATTCAAATGCCTGTGTTTAGGGTTGAGTTTGTGTTCATGCATGAGTGGCAAAGCATCTTGTGAATCCCTCAGTCACTTCTTGATCAGAATCAATCTTCCACCATGCAGCATAGCGTCCTTCCTTAAATTCTTGCAGATGTTCTGGTAGAAAAACAAATAAACTGGTTGATTAGTGTCCCACTCAGTCACACAGACACACACGAACTGTCCCCAGGCCTGCAGGTAGGTGACTGAAATAAGAGAGGGCAAAGGTCACAGGGCTGGCGCCACTCCATAAATGTTATTGATGTCTTGGTAATTTTGAAGTCTTTCTACTCTTTCTGTTTGTTCTGGTACTTCATCACAGATAACATTCATTCTGCATTATTTCTTTGCCAAACTTAAATCAGTGTAATTTTTGTTAATGAAAAGGATAGTGTAATGTTATTAAACTATGATATAGACTTTATATTTATTGCACTGCTGGCTTACACAAGCCAAGAAAGTTTCAAGAGTCTGCAAACTGATTTTCATACCATACAGAAGTTAGTGTAAATCAATGGCTGCCTGGTACAGCTGTAACAGTACATTCAAAATATACCCCTGTTTTCAAAAATAGGCAGCAAATAAGACAGTATCTGTTAATTTTCAGTCACTTGGGGGCAACACAACAAGCTGTAAATACAACCATGACACATTATCACCCTGTAAAGTTAATATGCTGAATGTGTTAGCACGCGTTCACACATGTGGCAAACAAGGAGCAACATTAGAATTCGCTGGTGGTTTTGTTTTTGTTTACCTGAAGTCCAGGATTCCGTTTCATTAATTATGTCTAAAACCACAGTGACTTAAATCCTGAGGGGACTGTCCGACTCTTTAGGTGCTTAATGCTGCACTAGGCCAATAACTTTGTCCTTCTGCTGCTTGGTGCTGGGTATACAGCAGAGGTTTAGAGCATTTCTTTCTGTTTGCCACTGCTGCTGAAAATGAGTTTGTGAGAGTAAGAGTGCCATAAAACCAACACAGTGAGCTTTAAGAGGCCAAAAGGCTCTACAGAGCCGAGGGAAACTGCAGAGTTGAGCAATAATTTTCTCTGGAGTTGTCACAACAACAACACATAGTCAACTGATCAATTTGTAGTATAAAAGCATTGATTAGCATGTATAATATGGAAAGAAGAAGTTAAAACATCTAAGTTTGAATGTTTGCTTGTCTGCTGTTCACTTATCACACCAGCAGCTTAAACACTTCCTGCAGTGTACAAAATCGAAGCTTTGGACAAAGATGCAGTGGTTGCGTATTTCTAGTAAATGTCATACAGGGAATACAGGTCCACAGGGTGCTCCCCCGCCTCTAGCATGTGCGTGTGTACAGGCTTCAGACTGTGAATCACAGGGGAGTGGGGAGTGTTTGTATTCCTCTAACGAACTGGGAGATGAACTTCTCTTTTGCGCTCTCTCACCATATCATCAGAGGGAAAGAGAGAACGCTAGAAACCCAGAAGAAGAGGAGAGCTGGGCAAACGATGCTACAGTACCTGAGTTTTATTTACCATTAAAAGAAAAGCAAGAGCTTATTAAAACATCTGGATATTAGCATTATGTGAATGCAGTGGTGTTACTCATAGAAACTGTCTCTTGTAACAGTGACCATCTGGTCATTCTTCTGTGAACCCTTCCAATGGAAACAGGTGGAGCAGAAATAAAAGAACATCCCATTATTGACTTGGAAACCTTTCTTCCAAAAGCAGAACCTTGCTAAATGGCTCTGCGGTAAACCCTGAGGGGACTATTGAATAACACAGAGCCAATACGCTGCTAAAAATCCATCTAAATGCTGCTATCTATTGGCTCAATCAATGCAATCTCATTTTATTTAGAGGCACACTTTGGCTGCTTTTTAGCCGGGAGGACATTCAACCCAGCCAGTAGTTATTAGTGATATTATAATCATATTTACAGAGAGAATTTCATTCCTGTGAGACATAATGTGTTGCATATGAAAAGGAAGGAAAAGGAAGAAAAAGGCATTCAGAGGCACGTGGCAGTGGGTTGCTCCTGCTCACAAGGATGCAGGGTTTTGTTCTGATGTTGCCATTAATGTTGAATGGAAAGTTAAATTGATCGTGACCATCGCTGTGGAGCACCGGCTGCCATTCAGTGTCCCATTCCAACTGGATTGCTAAAAGTGCTCTGAGGTGATAAGAAATGTTTGCATTACTGTGAAATTCGGTCGTGCTTTAAGTGCAGTGATCGCTTTCTTCGGCTGATTTGATGAAAAATAAATGAATAAAAATAAATGTTTAAAAAAATGAATTTCTCATAATCTGTTTTTTC